ACAAATTCACTTAGCGCTTGGTTAAGTTTTCTCGATTAGAATTGATCAATAACTAAATAAAGCCCTACCTGGAAATATTTTGGCAGAACCTTCAAGTCGTTTTTCTTGTAAAAATGTTTAGGATCCAAGACGGATCTCATTTGTACAATTTCCTAGTCATTCTTGACTTCATCGGTCATTTCTGTAGCTGGCATTCCAAACCAACCAGTGCCTTTGGTCTTGTCCTTTTCCTTCTGTAAGCCAATGATAAAACATAAAATATGAAATTTAAAATTTACATTGAGCCATACATTCGCAACAGAATGGGAAATTAAACACAAATAATGATTTGTCGTGTATCATAAGGAGCAACATAATAACGAACACAAAAGTTATTTTTCTGTAATTTAGATCGATTCTAGACTGGAATTTGTTTGGTAACGGCCTGACGAAGCCATGTACAAAAAGAACCTTCTTTTAAGACCCTCACGCATTGCAAACCGCAACTTTAGAGCAATATAGAGCGAATGAACTACTTTTTTTTTCAACAAACCTTTCTCTCTCGCAGAAGTTTCCTCTTTGAGACCTCGTATGAATGCACAGATGCCAGCTGCTCAAAGTCGGGCGTAACAACCGCTTTGCTTAGCGCTTTTTGCACCTCAGACTGTAACTGTTTTTTGATTCTGTAACTGTGCGCATTTTCATCTTGAAGCAAAAATACATTAGTAAGAAAAAAATGCATTGCGACTATAATAATGCATTGGACACAATAAAAATTAGCTAGTAAAATTAATTTAATATTTAAAACCCAATCTAAATGGTTTGAAGTCACATTGCAACCAATTATTTTCCTTTAAGTAATAATAAATCATCAGAAATTGCCTTCTTGTTTAACCGTCTGTTAATGGCATACCCAAACACTCATTCAATTGCTTTGAGTTCTGGGCCGTTTAGCTCTTWAAAAGGGGCTCAGATCAGCRCCTAACGCAMTACTTGCGAGTATAGWCACCTTTTTTCATCYCGAACGAAGTCTCCGGAATCAAAGGCTTCACTAGTTTATGTTTTTTAGGCACGTTTGCGTGACTTTGAGCCGGGCTTGTGTTGCCATTCAGTTCAAAGAGACGCTTCTTGTACTCTGCTAATCCCTCAGTAGAATCTGAGAAGGAAAAGATTGCGTCTCTCAATTTTCTTCTCACCTCCACTGAGGAAGGCTTTGCAATTGTCGAACTATCTGGAAAATAAAACATAAATTAGTAAACATTTAAATGGTCATGAAAAAATCAGACGCGAATATTACCATTGTTCAAAGAGAACAACTGATTGTTTGGGGCATCATCTGGACGATCCCCAACAGCATCCAGAACAAAAGCCATTTTTGGTGATGTAGTCAAGAGTCTTCAGAACCGGTCTAACATATAAAAATCAAGCAAAATAATGAGTAACAATGAACGAGACCAAGAGAAATTAATGAAAAGCAAAAGCCAGATGACCCACCTGGAAAGGATCAAGCAATTAATGCGAGACGTGAAAAGAACATGCAATGCAAGAAACGACCAAGGAATAATTGGGGCTCTCACCGGAAGAATCGGAGATTAGTATAGTATTCACTAAATTTAAGCACCAAACGTGCACCACACSRATCAAGCGTTTTTTAGGTTAATACGGAAAACTYTGGGTAAACAACAAAAACAAACCTAAGAGGTTAMAAGCAAGTAACTCATCTTTTCACCATGCCATCACGAACAGGCAGCGTTGSCAGACSAAGAACTTCGAAAATGGTAGAATTGATAGGAAAAAAACGGTAGATTTAAAAATAAAGCGGTAGATAATTTAMTATTCCTAAATTTCTGTTTTTYTATTTTTTAAGTAGTTTTCAAAGGTACTTTTGAAAAAAWTGAATGATGAATGAACGCYTYTTGAACTTTGTCGAAACATCCCGTGAATCTGCGTCGACAAARAAAAGTAAATAGTAAATGAAATTGTATTATTTTTATCATTAACTGTTTTTTTTTTTGTTTTTTATSATTAACTGTTTTTTTTGTCAAAAGAGACATTCATCAATTTCAAGGAAAACAGTTCATATCGTATCAAAGTTTTCCAAAACCGTTCTTAGAATATGACGAGGCAT